GTGTGTGTGTGTGTGTGTGTGTGTGTGTAGCAAAGGTCAAATTAAGCAAGCTAAAAATAAAATCAGTAGTTATAAATGTTACAAATGATTTTAGGCATCACAAAATTACAAGGTACGGGGTGAAAAATGGAAATTAATTTTTAGAAATAAAGATTACATTTAATGATGTTATTAAATTATAAGTGTTCACAATTAAATACCCAGTATCAACCAAAATCATTAAAATAATAATAATAAATCCCGAATATCCACTAATGACTGATATGGTATTGCTATATGGTGCATCCCTAATAATGTCTTTATCTACTGCAAAGACATTAAAAAAATTGTAAAAGTGGCTTAAGTGTCCTAATAATGTTGGAGCCACTGTATTGGGTTTTGCATTAGGCTATTGAAAAGCCCATATTACTCAACTAATATTTATTTTCGCACTATGCAGAAGGGCCTCCACCCCCACCCTACTGAACCCATCTGAGTCTGTCTATGTGAGAGTGTTTTGTGTTACTCTATATTTAGTTCCTCCCCCATCCTCACACATGTTTAGTCATAGCACATTGACACCATTGCCATACCACATACGAATCAAAAACAAAGACAATTAATCACAGAGACAGTGTCACGCTTACCATCAAACTCTTCCTTGTTTTGTCTCGTGCACACAAACTCTGTTCAGCACCACGGACAGCGCATGGTTTAAGTGCAGAATTTGCTTTGCACTGAAAGTTTGTGGTGTATGTCTTGACATGAATGTTGTTTTTCTGTTTACCATCTCTGTTTGTATGCTTTTGCAGTTTAGTAGAAAAAGAGAGACACAGATGGATAGATGGAACGATGGATTACTTGACAGGCCTCTATTCATGCACTAATGGCTTCACACATTCAGTAAGGATGTGTATGTGTGTTTTAGTTGTGCATTTTTAATTTTTTTTTCAAGAACTGTGTTTGTTCTTGAACAGATGTCAATTATTTTGACAGGACTATACTTTGCTTTGTCACACCCCGCTAGACAGACAAATAAAGGCCTTTCATTAAACTGTCTCTGACCATTATTTTGCATGCAATTGTGCGCATTCATGGTAATTTGTTCATTTGTTTGTTTGTGTGTGTTGCTTTTTGTGCAAATAAAGAAATTGTGGACAGTCACAGACCTGTTTGAAATAGGCACACTTTGCCACAGGGCTGTTTGGAAGTTTGAAGTGCTTAACAAATATTCAGCTTATCTAACATTTAGCGAGAGAGAGCGTTTGTGAAAGATGGGTTCAGATCTGTCTTTGATGTAATATCAGTCAGATTTTGGCTTTGGTTCCTGAACACAGAACAGATGGACAGCTGGAAATAATGGACTTCAGCAAGTTGTGATATATCACTAGAATTTCTTATTTCTCTGAAGATTATAATGTGCTCACTCACGTTTTCTTTCTAATTATTAGAATATGTCATGTTTGTTATACATACATTAAGCATACACTACAGATTTCATTTCATAATCCAATCTTCTGAAGAGACATGATTGCTTTATGTAATGAACATAAATCAAGCACATTAAATATGGAAGTTCATGCATGTTCAAACTTTTGCAAGAACCAATGAGGTTTGTTTTCCTGCATCACACAAATATTGTTGAGTTTCCATGATTACCATATTTGATGAGCTCTATTAATGTTTACTGCTCAATTCATATGCATTACTTTGAGTTAAACTGGACAGAACTGGATGGCAGTGAATTAGTTATCTGGCATAATAAGTCAAATCAAGTCAAGTCAAATCAAACAAAATTGAATCAATGCTCAGGAATAAAGAGTTGAACCAAACTGAATTAAATAAGTAAAATAAAAAAACAGAATAAGCTGAACTGAGTCAAACTGAAACTGAATCAAAGACCAGGAATAATAAGTTAATTGAATCAAGGGTAATGAGTCGAACTGAGTCATGTTGAACCAAACTCTATGATCAGAAATAAGCAGTTAAACAAAATTTAATTCAGTGGAATGTACTGGAATAGAATCAAGGAGCAGAAATAATGATGAGCAAGATGCATAGAGAAATTGGAGGCTTCCCTAACAAAAAATGGACATGATTAAACAGAAAACAATTAGAAAGAAACAGAGAGATAAGACTGCTGTAAAAGCCAAACTGTTAAATGAGGCCAAAAAAGCAAAGACAGAGACTGAATTTGACCCTGATTTTCCCAGTCCTTTCCCTCATCCATGACTTTTCAAAACTTTCCTTAGCACTTCATCTGTGTTCTCTCGGACTGCTCTTTTCCTAACTGTTCATCACTCATCACATTAGATCCAAGCAGGAGAAGAATAGGAGGAGAAACTGCATTAAATCCTCCATTAACTCCTCGGCTTCCATTGGAATCCTCTAGAGAAATCCCCTATTTTCTCTCAAGTTTTTTTTGGTAATTGGGTTTTGATCCCTTTGTCGAACACAGTGTGTGACGTATGTGTGTTGATGGCATTCCTGTGAGTGTGTTTACAGGGATACTGGCAACATAGTAGAGACAACGTGTCAGTCAGTGTAGTCAGCTCTGAAAGGAATTGAATTCAGATCTAACATCATTGCTTTTTTCACAAGATCTTTTTATATTCTTACTTTGACATCATTTTTTGTCTCTCCTGTAGTCTCTTTACACTCTCTCGATCTCTTTTTATATGTCACATAAAAAGTACACACAAACCCCCATCTCTTTTCTGTACTTGCTTTGCACTTGTTTCTTTCTGTCATACGACACACATTCCTGTCTCATGCCCCATTGCGTATGCTAAAACTGTGTTTATTGGTGCAGTGAGCGGTGTGCACTGCTGTTTTGATAGCTGCAGTCTAGGGGCCTATTCCAGTGCAGGAGCTCTGTTATGGCCTGAACTGCAGCTGTCTGAAATGCTAATGCATTTATAGAAGCCATCAGCAAAGAACCAAGTGCTTTCAGACGATACAGATTACAATTCAAACTTCCCACGGCTTATGAGAGTACTAAACAACACTGCCAATGGAGTGGACAATTATGGGCCCCAGTCCATCTTGATGCTTTGTTCTTCGTTAGCATCACAATAATGTTCTGCATTGTATTTGTTTGTTTGTTTGTTGGCATGTGGTATTTGTTAAGAAAAATATAATGATTATTGCTCATACTTAGGATTAGATGGGTGAAAAAAAATCCTGGAGAACCACAGTCCTGAAAATCTAACCAAAGTCTTCAGGATTACTTGGATTACATGCAGATGTATTTGATTAGATTTGGAACTAAACTCTACAGGACCGGAATTGCCCCTCCTTCCTCTAAGGCCACTCAGCACAACTTAGTGAATATATAGCAATACTCTAGTAACCACATAACCACATTCTAAAACCACTTAGAACAACTTAATGACTGTATAGAAACACCATAGCAACACATAATTGCACTCAGAACATCTCAGCAACCGCTGAGTTTTTTCTCAGGTAATTCATATTTGGTAAATGTCAGAATTTACTATAACTTGCTTTATTGCCTAATGCCACACATATTGCAAATATGCGTGTGCTTTGACTGTCAGGTGATTATCTAAACCTATCTCTCTCTCTCTCTCTCTCTCTCTCTCTCTCTTTCTTTCAGACTAATATCCCTTTCCTGCAGAATGTATTGAGCAATAGCCAGTTCCTGTACGCCACAGTTGACACCCAGTTTATTGACGAGAACCAAGAACTTTTCAACCTCAAACCTACACAGAACAGAGCCCAGAAACTCCTGCACTATCTGGGTCAGTGTGTGTGTGTGTGTGTGTGTGTGTACATTCATCATTGTTTTGCACCTGTGATAGCCTAAATGTGTGTGAGTGTATTTGTGTTTAAACATCTGCTTTTTTTCTCGACAGGTCACACAATGGTAAATGGACCCATGACTCCTATTCCAGTGAAAGCCAAATCTTCACCTGTTGATCCAGGCGTTCCTTCTGTTTCTCTGGGTATGACTCACACACACACACACACACTCACACAGGTTTGTTTTTGTGAATTGTGGGGACATTCCATAGGCGTAATAGTTTTTATACTGTACAAACTGTATGTGCTATTGCCCTACACCTAAACCTACCCCTTACAGGAAACTTTGTGCATTTTTACTTTCTCAAAAAAACTCACTCTGTATGATTTATAAGCGTTTTGAAAAATAGGGACATGGGGTAATGTCCTCTTAAGTCACCTTCTCCTTGTAATACCTATGTCATACCCATGTCATTATACAAATGTGTGTCCTCATATGTCACAAAAACGCACGCACGTGCACACACACACACACATTAAGTTACCCTAATTGTGTTCCATTAAACACCATGAAGGAGAAGTTTTAAAGAATATCCCGGTCCAACTAATCTCATGAGAACAGTTAGCCTAAACACTAGAACAGTTCAAATTGTCATTAGAGTGTGTTGCCTGGGCATGCTTTTACATTGCATTTACATGCATTTACAGTGGATGGAGAGTGGAGCTTTTAAGCTTCAGAAAGGGTGAACAAGCACCATAAAAGCATCATTAAAGGGGTTCATATGACCTGTGTAGTGTGTACTATATAGTTTTATGTGAGGAAGAAACACAAATTTAAGTGATTATTCACAAATAATTCTTCCCTCCTTTGAGCTGTTCTGTTGCAACCAGATCATTAACTTAACAACTACCTTACTAACTATTGATAAGCAGAAAATCAGAAGTTTATTGAGGCAAAATTCATAGTTAATAGTTAGTTCATAGTGAGAACTGGTCCCCAAACTAAACATGTGAGTGACATCTTGGGTTTAAACTTGAATGAAAGCCTAAATTAAATAAGACTAAATTCATAATTTAAATTTTGTGGTAAACTATACCTTTAATTTAGAAGCATTGTTCCTTTTAGATTAGTTTTAGTTCCTTTTAGTTTGCTGTAGTTTAGTTTTACTCCCCAACACTGCACACACATACTGTATCTCAGGTTACAGACACACTTGCCACATCAAAAGTGTACCACAACAGATGTTTGTGGAATCCATACTCTTGTTTATAGCTATACTAAGCATTGGCACCACTCACCCCCACTCTCTATTCTCTCTCTTTTCTCTCTCTTTTCTCTCTCTCGCTCTCTCTCTCTATGGATGGACGAGAGTGTGATAATGCAGCTTTAATCCTTCCCTTCTCTTCTTCCCTCTGCCAAATGAAAGAGGGATCCAGCCACATTAGAAATCTCATTACAGGGGTTTAGGTGTATGTGAGCCACATACCACACTCCCACTGTGTGTGTGTGTGTGTGTGTGTGTGTGTGTGTGTGTGAGAGAGAGAGAGAGAGAGAGAGAGAGAGAGAGAGAGAGAGATTCCTAAGGGATAGATATATGTGCATATGTGTGCGCAATTAATTTAGCCAATTTTCTCCTATTCTCATTGGCATAAGTCAAGTCAAGTCACCTTTATTTATATAGCGCTTTTAACAATACAGATTGTGTCAAAGCAACTGAACAGCATTAATTAGGAAAATAGTGTCAATAATGCAAAGGGACAATAGTAAACACTAATTTTTCAGTTAAAGTTCATCATTGAATTCAGTGATGTCAACATCCAGCTCAGTTTAAATAATATCTTTGCAATTATGTCAACGATATCGCCGGAAATGAAGTGTCCCCAACTAAGCAAGCCAGAGGCGACAGCGGCAAGGAACCAAAACTCCATCGGTGACAGAATGGAGAAAAAACCTTGGGAGAAACCAGGCTCAGTTGGGAGGCCAGTTCTCCTCTGACCAGACGAACCAGCAGTACGGAAAAATCAATTTTACTTTTTTATACCTTTTTTCTTGTTTGTTGAATGTGATGTGTAAAGTAATTCCCAAAGAACCCTTGATGGAGTGTATGCATTTAAGTATGTATATCCAAAAAAAAGAAAAGTTTCCCCACTTTCTTCCTGTTCTCAGTGCTTTAGATGTGAGTTCTCAGTGGGACAGGTTGTAGTTTGCCGAGCTTGTAAAATCATCCCCCTACACAATTGGACTAAATATGTGTTGTGTATGTAGGTGTTTGTATGGAAAAGGTCTTTCACGGGATAAAAAATGCATGTGTCTGTGTAAGTAGGTCACATCTGTGGTAGGTGTATCCCAAGCCTCATGAGATGCTCCTCTGCATTGTGTGTGTTGCATGTGCGTTTCAGACACACAATGAGCGATAAATAGGCTTTGGCCTTCTTTCCTTTCATGTGGCCGCCAGCGTTCCATACAGGGAAATTCCCACAGCAGCACATACATTTGAACTCACATGTGGGTGTATTTATGCCTTGAAATATGCAAATCTATGCATCAATGTCTTACTGCACTTCTATAATTTGTCTCCCCCATCATTTTTTATCTCATACTCCCTCTCTCATTGGACAGCATGAATTGATTTTATTTTCTCTTGAATAAGTTAGCAACCCACCCGATTTTTTTTAAAGTTTTTATGTGTTTGCCTCATTTGCATTAATAGAGAGAGTAGGTATGTCCAACTTAGTTTGTAATGGAAGTTAACAGTACCACCACCTGCCTGCTGGGTTAATGGCCTCTCAAACTGACACATCTGAGATCTATAAATAGTAGGAATTTCCCATTGTCTGTTGGTTTGCGGGTTCTTGTAGCTTTGGCACTGACCCGTAACCTTCAGGCAGAAAATGCAATGCTTAGTTTTAGCAGAGAAGTGTGGTCTGGTTTAAACTATTCAACACGTAATTGTCTTCCTGTTCTCCTCAGCAAACATTCATGTGATGCTCCTGTTCTTATTTCGAGATTACTTTGATTGGCTGCCAAAATGAGACGTTGCATGACAGGGAATCAGTGAGAAGTGTCAGTGGCACTCTTTTAATTGATCACCTGTTTCAAAGCTGTATGTGTGACAAGCTCACAATGAGAAGCAGTCAGATTACTGCAACATTAGTACATAGCTGTTCATCAATGACTGTCAGTATTTAATAGTAGATCAATTGTAGATACAGTCCCTAGAGGTGTGCGATACTAATGTAATTTGTTGTTTTAAACATGTGAGCTGACAAGTAGCAATGTCACTCACTTTGCAAAAAAAAAAAAGCCTTAAGATTGCACAAAATCTAAAACAGTGTAAATATAGTGTGTAATAGCATGTATATATGCAGTATATTGGACATAGATGTATCATTCTCCTAACAACTCTATAGCAATACGCTAAAGTTAACTCAGAACTCCTTATCAGCCATGCTAAAAACTACTCAGCATACCTTAGCAACCACATGGCAATGTTCTTGCAACCACCAACAACACCTTATCATGGCAGTGAGTTTCTTAGAATTTCTACTTTCCATAATAAAAACAACTTTTGATGGTAACTGTTGGAAAGTACATAATATTCTGGCAGGCATTAAAATTGTCAATGGCTTGACTTGAATGTTCATTCATGCAAATGTCTCTCTTTACTCTTATAAACCATAAATGTCGGTTTTGAAGGAGTTGGCAGTAGTGTAGAGCTGACAAAGTTATTTCCATTTTTCTTCACTCTCTCTTTCTCTAGATTCTGCGAGGTAGCCAAAGAGAACGGAATGGATATCTTCCGTGTCTTTGACTCCTTGAATTATATTCCCAACATGCTTTTGGGGATGGAAGCAGCAGGGGCAGCGGGAAGCGTGGTGGAGGCGGCCATTTCTTACACGGGAGACGTGTCTGATCCCATGAGACAGAAATACTCACTGGAGTACTATTTGAAGCTGGCCAATGAGCTAGTTAAGGCTGGAACACACATACTGGCTATTAAGGTAGAGCATGTATACAAGGAAAAACACATTCACACAGAATTGGCCTGAGAATCATATGTTCCACACTCACAAAGGCAGAGGTGAAGGATTTGCTAATGTAACCACTGGGTTTTTTTGTGTGTCAGGGCTCTTAGATGTTATTTTCAGCTGTGTTTGGCAGTTACTCAAGGGTGTAATGACTGAAGATATTGACAGTAATACTCATTCTCGCTCTGTTATTTCTGTTTCTTTTTTCTTTTTCTTTGTTGAGCTGCTGTAATGGCAGTGATCGTCATAATGTGATTTTCTTTTCTATGGGGTGCACTTGAGTGGTTCAAAGCAGCTCTGCGCTCTTTTCTTCCTAGGACATGGCTGGCCTGTTGAAGCCAGAAGCTAGCCGTTTACTGATTGGAGCATTGCGGGACCGTTTTCCTGACGTCCCTATCCATGTTCACACTCATGATACGGCGGGTGTAGGAGTTGCTGCAATGTTAGCCTGTGCACAAGCAGGTGCAGATATAGTGGACGTAGCAGTGGACTCGATGGCAGGCATGACCTCTCAACCGAGCATGGGTGCCATCGTCGCCTGCACCAGAGGAACCAAACTTGATACTGGTGAGTGGAAAAGAAACGTGTAAAGGTATGGCGAAATGTTGATAGAAATTTCACAAGCAAAAAAAGAGCCATTGTCAATAGTGTAGTGATGCATGAAGCACTGTTCACACAGAAGTCACTTTCATAGCTGGCAGCTTTCTGTTGGTCAACGCAGTGAATCCGCATGACCAGCTTGAAAACGAGCAAAATCTGCGTAAATGTGACCACGACTTAAGGCTCAAAACATAATCTACACAAGTATGTGTGTAAATGGAAACTGGGACTGAGAAAAGCTGACTGAGAAAATCACCCAAATAGTACTTAAATGGCATTACATTATTGTGGCAGATAAGTAAAGCCCTGAAAGTCACTAATGTAATGTTGGACTGTGTAGACATGCAAACTGACATCTTCAGCCACTGCATCTCATCTGAAAGTATTTAATAGCAGTTCAGCTTAAAAAAAGTCATAGCCATAGGCTAGTGGGCAGAGCTCTTGACATATCGGGGAACCCGTGTTCTGACTCAAGGACTTTTTTTTACGTTCTGTTCTAGTCTCACAACTCCTCTTGTCAAATAAAGTCAGTGACCAAAAATATAACTTAAAAATATAAAAATGTATTTATATACACTTCAGTTCAAAGGTTTGGGGTCAGTAAGATTTTTTTTAATGTTGTTAGTGATAACATTATGATAAAAAAAATACAGTGAAAACAATAGTGTTATGAAATTACTGCAATCAAGCAAAAACCTTTTCTATTTTAATGTATTTTAAATTGTAATGTATTGCTATCATGGCAAATCTGAATGTTTTGTTATTACACCAGTCTTCAGTGTCACTTGATCCTTCAGAAATCATTCAGATATGCTGTGTTTCTGTAATATTTCTTATTATTACCAATGCTGAAAATAGCTGTTTAATATTTTTGTCAGTTTTGTAGTTTTGTGTATTTGGTCAACTATTGTCATGGCACAGCAAACGTTTGAAGACTGAATAGTGCTGCTGAGCAAGTTAGATGAAGTGAGAACAAGCTTTAAGTATGCACAACATGTGACTTTTGGTCCACACTTGAATGTTTGCATAAAGCCCGGCTCACACTGTGCGATTTTGGCCACGATTTGGTCATCTGAGACAAATTTTGAAAATCCTAAAAGATTCCTATAATCCTAGGCTAAAATCTGTAGTCTTTGATCATTTGTTTTACATGTTCACCGAAAGCCCATTAATGGGCGTTGCGATCAAATATTACCTCCAACGAACTTCTGGCAGTGTCAGAAGATTTGGCGCACAGTCCTGCAGTGTGACATCTCCTACGACGAACGTCAAACTGTCTTCGTATTTCAAGACAAGCCATGATCAGAAATAATGCTAGAGATTTCTTCTAGTCGCATAAACTTCGGCACTCTCGTCCTCTGCTCACGTAATTGATTCGTTGCCTTTGCTCTGATATACACCGGTTGCGCTGCTGTTTTCATGTGGGTGTGTAGAGCTGCTTACACTAAATACGCCGGTATTGCCGCCATTCATAATACTTTTAATGATTGTACAACATTACAGCCCCGCGTGCAATGCAGCTCGCAGTCACTGAACATGTATGTGTTGATAAGGTAAAACTCCGGACAAGTTTTCTTGCGCGCACCCGTTTTTAATGCGTCTTGACTGTCGTACAGTCTGACATTAATGACAACTGAGATCCCACAGTGTGACATGATCATCATGTTCGTACAGTCTGACAAGTACAATCCTAAAGGACTTTTAAAAAATCGCACAGTGTGAGCCCGGCTTAAGGTGTGTTTCTGGCCTAGGTCAGTACATGTGCAGTTTAATTCAACAGGCTGCCCATGATCAGTTTAATGTTACAGGCAGGCACAACTGATTAATGATGTCTAATTAGTCAAGTTGCTAAGCTCATTAATCAAGGGACCCAGCAGGGGCTGTCGTCATATATCAATACATTTGTACTTTTATACAGATGTGTGCTGTACTGTCCGTGTGAGTGTGATAATTGCCGTATTCTGAGAGGCATGTTAGGCAAAAAGCCTACAGTAGCAGAGAGGGGAATGTGTTGACACACCTTGGACAAAGACTAATGACGGAGAAGAAAAGAGAGGAAGAGAATGTTCCATTCCCTCTTCCCCATTTTCTTTTTAACTGCACTTACCCATGTATTTCTCCTTCCTCCACTTCATTACCGTCAAAGTTAAATCATAGTTCCTCTTCCCAGCCTTTCCCTCCCTCTCTCCCCCTCGTCTGTCCCCCAAATATGGTTCCTCTGAGGCAGGATGGTTAGATAATGGCCGCTGCACTTCCGTTTCAGATTCTCCTGAACAGTCTCTCATGTAGCCACACCATACACAGCAATCTGTCAGTCGCTCTTTAAACACTGAGATACCAAAAAATTAGATATGAAAAAAATGAACAAAGCAAAACAAGAGAAAAAAAACTGATTTTTACATTTTATGTGGAAAATATGGGTTGTGATTGTTTATGTGAACGTTGCCACCACAATGCTAGTTCTGGGTGGTTGCCAGAGCGTTGCTATGTGGTTCCTAAGGTGTTCTGGGTGGTTGCCAGGAGCAACGCTATGCAGAAGCTGGGGTTGGTTAGGTGGCTGCTTACAGACTTGCATCAGAAAAGCCCACTCCCAAGTATTTATAATACTCCTATACTGGTCCCCACATATGGCTGGGGTCCATCTTTGTATGTTAATGGGATTGTGGTAACATTTTAGTTAAGGGACCAATTCTCACTATTAACTAGTAATTTATTACTGTGCATGTTACTTGCATATTGGCTGTTTTTTAGTGCTTATAAAGCACAAATTAATGCCTTATTCTCCATAACCATATTTTAGATCCCTTAATCCTTCCCCATACCTAATCTTAACAACTACCTTACTATTAATAAGCAGCAAATTAGGAGTTTATTGAGGGTACAGTCATTGTTAATAGTTAATTAATAGTGAGAACTGATCCCCAAACTAAAGTGTGACTAGGTGAAAACCGAAAAATTTTCTACTCTATAAAGGCACAGTTTTCAGTCAGCAACACAAATTGTGCAGGTTTATATCCTGACCTTTAAAACTTAGAGTTAGAGGTTTTGTTCAAATCCATAACCCTAAAGGTCTGTTCACTCCAACAAATGTTTGGCAAAAAGAAATTTGGTCCAGTTTTCGTATGCAAATTTTCTGTTTTGATTGGTGCATAAAAAACCGCTGATGGGCTGAATGAAAATGCCATTTCACTCTCTGACATAGATGGCACTTACACAAAATAAAAAATACTCAGGTTACCCCAGTAAAGGGGCAAGCACAGTACACTTTTCAATCCATTGACTTCTATTCATACACATGTGAATGCTGGAGTCTGGAAATGCAAGCTTTTGGAAAGAAGTTGTGCATTTCACTGCGTTCTAAAGTTCCACTTTGATGCACGATGCATTTGTGAAGACATGTGACAAATAGCTGATTTAAAAGAACACAAACTTTAAAGCTGCAGGTTTGCAGTGTTGGAGGAAAATGGAGTAGATTATATATGGGTTCCTTTTCAGGAACTCGAGGTGCGTCGAAAAACGCTAGGGGAACGCCGTTCAGCGTGACGGGCTCTGAATCTCGTGTGTAATCAGACCAACAGCGGGCGAGACGTCACGGCGGGTGACGTAATGACCAGGAGGCTATAAAAGCACATGCGGTGAGACCAGTGTCAGCTTTTTGTCGTTCAGCAAGCGCTCTGTGTGTGTGTCAGTCTGATATCTGTTTGTGAGTCATATTTGGTGTTGTCTGTCCCGTAGGGCTAGAAGATAATTATGTCTAAAGCACATGACAAGTCACATAATTTGAGTAGGGGCGAAGGCAGCCAGCGTTTCAAACTGTGTGTTCCTCCCTGCCCGCGTTTCATTACGGGTGCGGACACACACAGTTTGTGCGTTGTCTGCCTGGGAGCGGAGAATGCTGAGTCAGCTCTTGAGAGCGCTGACTGCCCGCATTGCGAGTGCCTCCCATGCATGCGCTCCGCTCCCGAAAGGCACTCTTTGCGGAGGGTGCTTTCGCAAGCGTTCCCCGCGGCGCGGGTCCCGCTTCCGCCGAGGCGCAGCGGCGATTGCGCTCGTGGGGTTCGCAGCTGGAACTGGCGGAGGGAATGGAGACGGGCGAGTCCCTATCTTCTTCCTCACCCGCCAGATCCGGCGCTCGCTCACCGGGATCGGAAGCCCGTTCTGCGGTTACTTCCCCCCCGGGGGCTCGGCGCTCCGCCTGTCTTCCTCCGAGGAGGTTGATGTGGTGGGCGTCGACGAGGATTCGCCCCCTCAATCGCCCCAGTATGAGGAGCTTTTGGAGGTGGTAACTCGTGCTGTGACCAAGCTGAACATCGCATGGCCCGCCGAGAAAATGGCTGAACCGCAGAAAGGCAAGTTGGATGAGCGGTTTTTGCGAGTTAAGCCACC